CTTGTGCGGAACGGGATACTCCTAGCATCGCCTTTTCGACTGCCCGTTCGATAACGATGGGTGACCTCTCATCCTGCTTACGCAGCTACCAGGTTTCTGACGCATGCGTAACGGCAGAAAGTACCATTGAGTCGAAAAGGTGGGCAGGGAGTCAGGTGTTCTTTGTTCTCTTCACTACATCCTCGATGCTCTTCAAAGATCCCCAAGCCGCTCGTTTCATTATGCTCAGCTATGGAGCTAGGTCGTTCATCGTATTGATTTCCCGGCATAGACAGAGATAACTGGAGAATTTGGAGACACACGCACCGTTTAGCGCGAATGAGACACACGTAACCAACCAGCTCTTCGTTAACATCCCTTCGTGAGATTTAGTCGAAGGCTTCGTTCCGTTGGGCGCGAATGGGGCATGGGAAACCAATCCGTTCCTCATGAACATCGTTTTTGCAAGATTTAGTCGAAGACCAATCTTTCTACAGGCATTACCAAAGTCGTCAAACATATGTTCCGCTTAGCTAAAGTTTAGTACTCTAAGGACGATGTCATCAGAAAAGCGAAGATGGCGTAACTGCCGACCGTCGATTTTCACTCCCATATTATCCCATTTCAATGCTCACATGACGTTCTGGAGGGTGGCAGTAAATAATTCTAGCAAGATAGTATGGCCTCGTCTAATCAAAAGAGGGATCTTTTGACGTCAATGTTAAAATCGTTGTAGAATGGTGATATCTTGTTGTGAAGTTTTTGTACAGCTCACGAAGAATCTTTACGTACTGAGAAGGTACTCCTTCAGCATCAAGGGCTTCCAAGACTGCTTCCATCTTAACTGAATCAAAGGCCTTCTGTAAATTGATGAAAACGAGACAGAGCGGTCTTTTGTACTCTTGCAATACTTCAATGAGCCGTGTCACCGTGTGGATGTGGTCCATCGTACTAAATACTTTTCGAAACCCTGTTTGCTCACATGGCTGTCCTTCGTCTGGTGTTCTGTCAATCCTGTTTAGGGCGACTCGAGTGAAAAGCTTGTAGACGACAGACAGTAAGCAAATTGGGCGATAGTTGCCGATATCGTGCAGGTCACCTTTCTTGAACAATAACACGGTCCTGCTGGTGTTACACTGAGTAGGGACTTTGCATTCGAGCAGGTAACGTGTGAAGGACCGAGCCAGTTTGTTTACGAAAATTGGCGGAAGGTTCCTCAGGTGTTCTTGTCTTATACTGTCCGGACCTGGTGCCGCTCGATATTTCACCGCCGAAATGGCATATCGGATTTCAGAAGGAAGGACCGATGGTACGACATATCCATCGTCCTTTATTTCATATGACGGGAGGTGGACGTGCTATCGAAGAGATCTGAATAGTATTCGTGAATAATTTTCTCCATAGCCCTCCTGGACGCCATAACGCTCCACCTGGGTGCCGGAGTGCAATCATTTTGGTCTTGTAATTGGCGAAGCTTCGGCGGCCTTTGCGAATGCTTTTCCTAGCCTCTGCAGCTTCGACCATTACTGCTGCTCTTCTCTCTCTAAGATCTCCTTTTGTCGCCTCTCTGCATTGCTTTGCAAGTTCGGACGTTAGCTCATGGTTGCCTGCAGCTCGTGGGCTTCCTCGTTGGCGCTTCAGGTCGAGTTTCTGGAGACAGACGTCTCGTGGTGACTTTCGAACTCTGAGCTTTCATAGCGTTACCGTGAAGATGTTGAATGAACCGATCGTATTCTTTGTCGATGTTATCGACAACGGCATCTTCCCAACAGCCGACTAATGAATTGAATAAATCCCAGTTTACGGTGGCTCTGGGACTTCGGTTTTGGAATTTGGCGGATTTTTCCCCTTTCCGCGAGAAATAGAATCTTGCACGAAGTAGGCGGTGGTCTGATCCCGTGTAGATTTTTGGGACAACAGCGACATCGGTTAGGCAAAACCTTCTATTTACTATAATGTGGTCTATTTCGTTATGGTACTCTCCATTTGGAGACTCCCACGTCCAGCGCTGAGGGTGGGGCTTTGGAATTGCGAGTTACCATGGATTGTCTTGGTCGCCATGATAAGCTCAGATAGCCGCTCACCCCGTTCGTTCCATTCTAATCCGTGGGTCCCAATGTGACGTTCTTCAGACATTCTTCTTGGTCCAATCTTGGTGTTGAAATCTCCAATGGTGGCCTTGGAGAATGTATGGTCTTCTCTGTAGAACTTCTTCAAGTCCATATAGAAAGTTTCGAGTTCTTCTTCTTCGTCATAGTTTGATGTCCGCGCGTAAACGACGAAGATTGTCAAAGCCGGAATTGATCCACGTCTTTTTAATAGTAAACGCCTGATTCGGGTTGGAAGTTGTTCGAATGAATCGATGTTCATGCAAGTGTACGTGCATTGTAGGTACAGATCGTCACCATAGTTCTTTGAAATCCAGGCAGCTTCCATTGGTCTTGAGATTTTAGCAGCCTCTCCGTACTCGTCCTACCCAACGCTACGAAACTGGGGGCTCTTTCGGGGTCAGGAAAATGAGGCTCGTTTTTTTACTGTGTTTAGCATTTTTGACACCCACGTGTAGCTTGCTGGGCTCTGAACATGGGGGCTGGGTATACTCATGGGTAGCTTGCCAGGCTCTCGCAGAATGGACATGGACCTTATTCGTTGGACTCCTAACCACCTCCCATATATCTTCCAGTCACTTGATTGCAAACTTTTGGCCGAATTGACTCGTAGAATACAATCCACATACGCATGCATGAATACCCCTCGTAAATATAGAAAGTATGTGCCAAATCGGCGCAGTAGAAACAGAAGAGTCCACCCATAGATCCACCTGCGTCCCAGGAAAGCAAAGGTCGCCTTTGGTCCGGGATTAACTCCCTATCCGTCACCTGAGGACGCGCCACGTAGCCTCGCGACCAACCGGCTCGAGATCCCTCATATGAGGGAGATTCATACATAGATAGCGTTAAATATGTAGAAAAATTTGCAATAAAGAAAAACTGAGCCTAAAAGGAGACCTCGAAACTTTCACGGACCAAGTCTATTGCAGAAAAGAATTACTGAACGGCTCAAAAGTAACAGAGTTCAAACCTCTCTGTTGTTACGTCAGTACCCTCGACCGAATCATTCCATCGAAGTGAAGCACTGCAAATGTTTCTATGATTAAAAAAGAATAGACGTGGAAACCAACTTGAATGTGCCAGAGAACACTATTCATACAAATACGTCATATATATTATCAGCGTAACCCCTAAATGTTAAAGAGCCTTACATATTGAACCTGAATTAGGCTATAGGCTCAGCCTTCCACAATCATGTGACATAAGATCTCAATACCAATTCGTTTAGTTATTGTAAAATTCATAAAGGAGTGCGTATAGCGCAATGGTTAGAAATGCCCTGCATTACACAAGTTTTTAGTTTGATCCCTCACCAACGGCTAACGTACCCCTCATCCCTCCAGCTTTAGTTAATTGGTACCCGATTTCTCTAAGAGGAAGGAAATATTGACTTGATACATCGATAGGCCAGATACATATAAGTCGTCGTATAAGCCAAATTTGCACTCAACCATTTCTATGATGACATGAACGGAGTCGAATGCATGACGCATCCTGATGGAATTGTGAACATTATACAATGCTTTCTGTTCTTTACTGCTGGAGGAATCCTTTTCTCCATACTGTTTGCTTAAGTCTACACTAAACCTACGAACCGCCGAAGCGATTCTTTAAAAAGAAAACATTTAACTTCAATGATGCTGAGATGTTTGCAGAACTCCGCACCGCAGGTGTCTGAGATGGGAAACGAACGCGCTATTGTCCTTTCCGGGGAGTAACGCGTTCACCACCACACCATGCGGGTCCTTCGTTTCGCTTGTCTCTCGGCTAGTTCTATCGATCTATGCCATCTACGATATCTATGCAGACACCTGCGGTCCGGAGTTTTGCAAATATATAAGCATCATTGAAGTTGTATTTCGCAATATGCCCTGCCATTAAAAAGAGTAGGCACTAAGTAATAAGGAAATACTTCCTTGAAAAATTAAATCAATTTTGAGAAACTGTGAAGAAACGTTTGCTAGTAAATAGGCACGCAGACTTTCGAAGGTTTCGATTTTGTACAACTCGCAAAAAATTTCTCACTGATTGCACTGCTGTGGTCGACTGTTATATGAAAGCGGATCCTGTTCATTCCAGTAATCGCTGAAAAAAGAAGGTTTACACTTCGACACGAAACGAAAGCTGAATCACATTGGTTCGGTGCTTAATAATTGGTTATGAATGAAAACGACTTCTAGAGTTTTGTTGAAGACGTCACAATAATAGGAAATGGTGCAGTTGCACATTCGGAAACAGTTACTACCAGTAAAAATCGCCGACAAATAATTCAAAGATAATGATGAGATATTTGCAAAACTCTGGACAGCAGGTGTCTGTGGTGGGGAATGAACGCGCTATTGCCCTTTCCGAGGAGTAACGCGTTCATTACCACACTATGCGGGTCCTTCGTTTCGCCTGTCTCTCAGTTAGTTCTATTGATCGGCGTCATCATCAATCACCCGTCAAAGGGACTGATCTAGGGGCCCAAATCGGCAGCGAACCAAGTTAAGCTGAGGTTGAAGTTGAAAATCACAATCGTAACCCTTTTATTTACTGCTTACTATAATTTTTAACGGCAGGGTATCATGTGAAGGACCCGCATGGTGTAGTGGTGAACACGTTACTCCCCGGAAAGGACAATAGCGCGTTCGTTCCTCACCGCAGACACCTGCGGTCCGGAGTTTTGCAAATATCTTAATATTATCTTAGTTGCATTTCACATGATGCCTTGCCATTAAAAATTATAGTAGGAAGTAGATAAAAAGGTTAAAATTGTGAATTCCAAGATATTTTTTAAAAAAATAAGGGATATTCTCCACCAAACTGGGTGCTCTTTTGTTAGAAGCGGTAAACCCAAGAAATAGACCAAAATAGACCACTTTTACTACTTTTAAAGCAGACACTCAATTAGTAGGACAATTAGTGGTATCACTTTTCACAGGCTTTTAAGTCTTGCCCTGGATACTCTCGGCGATAGTCGTCTCGATAACCAGAAGTGCCTTCCATGGATTCGTATGGCTCCGTGTAAGTCGATTTGTCAAAGTTGAAATGCACGTTCTCGTTATGGTTTGTTTCTTGCTGAGCATGACATTCTCCATGTTTATAGACGTTCGAATCAAACCCTTAAAAAACCCCACAATGAACAATACGTGCTACTATACATAAACTGGTGCACACAGCTGTCAAAGAGAAACTTTCTATGAGTATTTGCGAATAGTAATACCTTAGCGACTAATGCTAGGGGAACGAAAAAAACTCACCAAATTCATCTTCAAGATGCTGATTGTGGAAAGACATTTTGAGATTGCCTGAAGGCAAGCAGCAACCAGATGGTTCCGTATCATAGGCTGAGCACTCGTAATCGTCCTGTGGCACTTCACGATCGCAAGGCTTCACAACTAGACAGATTCCTGTTGAAATTTTTAAAAATAGTAGTTACGAAAATCATGGTAGATGTTTCTGATATTAAGTGTTGTTAGCTGACAATTTGAATCAAGTTTTATTATATCGGAACAATGAAGAGGATGAAAATCAAAATTTCCCAATCAACATCTATACGTAACTTAAGGGTCTTAGTGATATCTATCAGTTCACAATGCACCAAGATAAACACCGTCATAATCCCATGTAGCAGATATTTCAATACGCTACAAGTAACGCCTAAATAAATGTAAAAAGGCAACTATCTGGTCGAAGCCACTGCAGTGACATCGTATAAACACCCAGTTCATTTGTTCCAGCGTTATTGAGAAGCTTTTTTTCCAGTACATTACGCTGTAAGAGAGCGACAACATGCAAGCCCAATGAATAATTGTTAAACCCGTGTTGGAACTCCGCATGACCATTGATCGTCACCACAATATACTTGCACACTACTCCACTATACCAAAAGTAGCCCTAGAGGATAAAGGATAAAGTGTTCACCACTACTCATTTCTTGGAGGATGATACTGTCGACTTCGTGATGCATCGGTAAAAGGAGATGAATGCACATCTGGCCTATAGATTAACTAGAAGTAACCTACCAATACATAGACTTAATTTTGCTATCCTCCTGGACATGTTCTGTATTTCCGACCTTGGAGGAATGGAGTGCTTGGTGACCTCGATGATGGGATTGGAACACTACCGATTCTGCGCTTACTGCAGGGCATCTCTAGCCGTTGCGCTACACGCGCCCGCAAAGTCGCCTTAGCACTAGTTAATAACCGGACAGAACGAATACATACCGTAATCGTTGTCGTAATGATGCCGTGCGGATTGATGATATACGTCTGGTCGCGCGTGATACGCGTCTTCTTCGTCTTCGTAGCTAGCCTGCAGCGTCTGGATATCGATGTGTTAAGATTGATATGAGGCGATAAGAACAAAACACCCAACCACTTCATACAGAACTACGGCAGGTTTGCCAGAAAAACTCTATATTTTCATTTCACTAACTAATTCTTGTGTTTGTTTTAATCCGTCCCGATGGTGGATTTATATTGTAACTTGAAAAAAAATCCTACCAACCGTTTACCGCCTTGTAGTGGCTGGGAGGTGTTGGTGAGTGCCGGACTGCTCTACAGCGAGGGAATTCGTCCTTCCGACAGGATCTCCCAAGCTGAGGAGTCTGGCGTTTCGATTAGGAAGTCTAGCTAAGAGTAAACCAATGCCGGGATCCACTACCTTCCTGGTATCAAAGTCGCGTGGTGGCAAATCTCCCTCTGATCCAGAAGGGCTGCGACCGCCTGTGGTGGTGAAGACCTGGGGCAGACTTTGACCAAGCTGACCTCGGAATACAAGGGAACCACAATGGCTTAACCAGCAAATCTCCGAGAAATGGTGATTACGCTGGGGACCGCACAATCAGTGAGGACGGGCCGTTCAAGTATCATGTAAATAACTTGAAAAATCACACGATTACCTTTGTAGATTTTTTCATCACTACTAGAATACATTGCATTCGTATTTTTGTTTATGATTTGTTTGTGTTAAAGCGGTAAAGATTTTGTATTCATATTTGCAAACACCTAGGCTAAGGCGAATAAGAAATCCATTCCTTTCTTAAATATTTTTGTAGTAACCGCAATAGATATCTTAAAGGATGGTACAAGCAGGTCTCCTTTGTTCCATATCAAAAATTAATGCAACTTTTTGCGTTAACAATAAATCAACGTCAATCAATGTTACTAAACCAGTAAACATCTCCAAACTATATGCTCTTTTTTTAATATTTAAGGCTTCCCTACTTAATGGGAAGAAGCTCCATTTCCTGTAAAAGATGAAGAAATCTAGTGTTGTGAATAAGCAGATGGAGCAATAGTCAAACTCTCGGCCGTAAAACGGGAATTCGAAATCAGCCTGGACGACCTAGAAACGAAAACATGTTGGCAAAACGACGAATGACTACTTGAAAAATATCCGGACTGCCCCGCACAAGCAATTTACAAAAGCGACACACAGGTCTGGTACTTCATTCCCTAACTGTGCCACTCAAGAAAAGTCGGGGCCCTACCTAGCCACGCTAGGGCGTTGTTCACACGTGGATTGGAGGAGAGCGTTAAAGAGGAGGTCGAACCCGGGCCTTTTCTTCATGATCGACGACATCACTAACTAATACAATAACCCCTTCTACCACCTGTATCACCTGTAGTCCCGTTGATCATCGAGTGACCCGAGCGGGCGCTAGTAAATCTTCCGTTTTTCCCTGTCGCATTCAAGAGTAGCCCAGTGGGTTCTGCTCGCTCTAGGAATTCGTCGAGCATCATATCTTTCTTCAAGGCTCTTCGTGAGAAACCCTGACCATCGGGTCGGTGGACTTCCTGCAGCACGTTTGACATCCCGAGGAATCCAGTCACTAACGGCTCTTGTCCACCGGTTTTCATTCATACACACTATGTGTCCGGCACACCTTATCCTCGACTGCTTGGCGTACAGAACGGCATCTTTGATTTTTGATCGTTGACGCAGAAAGGAACTTCGGGTGCCATCCCTTACTTGTGTGGAACAGGATACTCCGAACATCGACCTTTCGACTACGCGTTCGATAACGTTGAGTGACCCTTCATCCTGCTTACGCAACGACCAAGTTTCTGACGCATACGTTAGTGCAGGAAGTACCGTTAAGTCGAAAAGGTGGGCACGGAGTCAGGTGTTCTTTGCTCTCTTCACTACATCTTCGATGGCCTTGAAAGCTCCCCAAGCCGCTCGTTTCCTTCACCTCAGCTCTGGGGCTAAGTCGTTCATCATATTGATTTCCCGACCTAGATAAACATAACTGGAGCATTCGGAGATATTAGTTCCGTTGAGGACGAATGGAGCATACGAAACCAATCCGTTACTCATGAACATCGTTTTTGTAAAATTTAATTGAAGAACAACCTTTCCATAGGCTTTATCAAAGTCGGCAAGCATACGTTGTTTTTGGCTGATGTCTGGTGTTATAAGGACGATGTCATCAGCAAACCGAAGATGGTGTAAATGCCGATCATCGATTTTCACTCCCATATTATCCCATTCCAATGTTCGCATGACGTTCTGGAAGGTGGCAGTAAACAATTTTAGCGAGATAGTATCGCCTCGTCTAATCCAAAAGAGGGATCTTTTGACGTCAATGTTAAAATCGTTGTAGAATGGTGATATCTTGGTTGTGAAGTTTTTGTACAGCTCACGAAGAATCTTTATGTACTGAGTAGAAGGGACTCCTTGACCATCAAGGGTTTTCCAGACTGCTTCTATCTCAACTGAATCAAAGGCCTTCTTCAAGTAGATGAAAGTGGTATAGAGCGGTCTTCTGTACTCTCGCGATACTTCAATGAGCCTTGTTATGGTGTGGATGTGGTCCATCGTAGTAAATCCTCCTCGAAACCCTGCTTGCTCATATGGATGTCCTTCATCCAGTGTTCTGTCAATCCTATTTAGAATTGCTCGAGTGAAATGTTTGTAGACGACAGACAGCAAACAGATTGGGCGATAGTTGCCGACGTGGTGTATGTCACTCTTCTCGAACAATAACACGATCTTGCTTGTCTTCCACTAAGTAGGGACCTTGCATTCGGACAGATAACGTGTGAAGGGCAGAGCCAGTTTGTTTACGAGGACTGGCGGAAGGTTCCTCAGGCGTTCTTGTTTTATCCTGTGCGGACCTGGTGCAGTTCGATTTTTCACCGACGAAATGGCATGTCGAATTTCCGAAGTGCGAGCGAAGACCGTTTACTATGCGAATGCAAATTTATGTTCTAAGTTTTATCTGTTTAGGTCACGAAAGTGTTCGGCTGAGTAGATTGCATGTCATATTCACCTTTCCAGGCCCTGAAGAAGGCGAAACCGCTGAGATGTCAGCTATTGGGTGCTAACAAATGCTAATAATACTAGCCTCGTGTTTACTCACAGTGAGCAATATTTTATTCATAGACTTGTGTTTATAACAAGGGACGAAAACACCGGAAATGACAACAGCGCAGGTAGAATTAGAAAAAATAGACGATTACAAATAGTTTCCATGGTCAGTATTAAAACCGCAATGAGAGCATGAAAGAATGTTCCAGGCGGCGCAGACGTGATGTGGTAATAAGTGGGGTGCAATATATGGACTTTTTACAGAAACCCAGACACAGCTATGGAGAGAAGGTAAATCATATTCTCCGAATAAGGAAAGTGAGATTGAAAATAATAAAAGGGTAAAGCTCTCAGCATTGATCAATCCCTGCGGGATGCGCCAAGCATTGGACTTCATCAAGTATCGTTGGAGGTGATTGAGTGCATATCTGGCCTTTACAATGACTCGCGGTGGCCTACCGTTGTCTTGAGCCAGTGCTGCTATCCTCCCAGATAAGTCTGGCACCAATTTACCGACCCCGGAGGGAACACAGGGGTGGTGGAACATGGGCGTGGGGATCGATCACACGTGCGTGTCGCAGTAGCGCCTCCAACTACTGCGCCGCACGCACCCAAAAATTGAAAATATGCATGATAATTGGAAAATAATTATGAATGCTCCATAGTTTCACGTCGTCGTATTCTTCATTCTGAACGAATAAGCAGTACAAAAAAAATTTCGATAACGTCATACGCACTGAGAGAGCTGTTTAAAGAAGGAACAGAATAAATTTTCAAAAATAAGGGACTATGTACGAGTATCAAGTAGCAAGCAACAGCTTTCTTAAACTTGACCATAACGGTCTCGATTGATGAAAAGACGAAAACAGACCAGTATCAACTAAATGTACTCTTCCTTTGATAAGCTGAGTAGCTTAGCTTTGAAATAGTATCAACTAAATGTCTACAAGCAACAAACATGGATAGATTTTCTGAAAAATGTAGTAAGATTGATAATGATGACTGTTCGACTGTTCGACTAATGCTTCAACATATTCGTGTTAACGAGAGCCGACGAGTGTTCTTCTCTTGGAAATTCAATTCGATGTGACTACGAAGACCAAAACCACAAGAACGAATAACCGTGGACAATCGGTTTGAGCCGTCGCGGCTTCAAACAAGACCGAGGAGCTGAATTGTTAGCCAAATAACAAATTGTATATTAACCCGTGTAAGCTGAAAATCCAAAAAGCTGTTGATCACTCATGCCGAGCCTAAGTGAAAGTCGGTTTACAAAAGTAACAAAAACTCAATCGACGAAACCCATGGTGGTCGGGATGAAGTAACGCTGATCGATAGTAAGGCCAACAATACAATTATCGATAAAGTACATGAGGATATTACAACTCATTGACTGCAACACCTGAAAATAAAAGAAACTAACCGAGACAGAATTGTGGAACAGGAAGCAGACTAAACACACAAGAAAAATAGTTTATGGAGAAAAAAATGAGAAACGGTTTTGCTCATTTGTTTCTTCTCATTGTATGAGGTTAAATCGCAGTTCAAAGAACCTTATTTCTGCTGGATCTCAAAACTCTGTCTCTATCTCTTTCTCTACCTCTATTTCCAGCAGATGTAATAGAAGTAAAGCGAAATATAAGCAACAACGAAACAGGGACACGGCAAACCAAGCAGCCAGAGATACTGTGCGCTACAACGCTACAAGCACGATCGATCGCTGGTTCGACCTCGTACCGGGCCTAACAAGCTCACCGTCTCTTCAGTGTTGGCAGACAAATATAAGAATTGTTTAGAAAAATTTCATTCGGAACCAAAAATGTCAGCGACTACATGTGGTGAACATCTTGGAACGCTTCAATAAAGCCAATTCAGGATTTCAAGGAGAACCAATACGACCGGAATTCAACGACATTCATGAAGAAGACGAAAGGCCAATCAAAGCGTAAGTCTGAAAACCTTCGTGGATGACCGATGCGAGACAACGAATCGCCAAAATGATTGCTGGGACCTGCGTGGATACGAGGCATAAGAATAATAATAAAAATCAAAATAAAAAAGCTGGCAGGTTCTACTTAATGATATCGTTGTAACACCGTAGTAGCCAAGAATACAAACAGACGGTCGCAAGGATTCAAATGGATGTTAAGTATCAACATTCGACAACCAAATTTAGAGAAGTACACTACATTTCCCATGCAATGATTAACAGTAGAAGGTTTTTTCATGCACTAATTAAAACCAGTAGTAATGACTTTCTATCTGCTGCTCAATTGGAACATTTAAAGGTATGTAAGTAGAACGAAGTGACAAAAAACAACGTGAAAAAGTAAATAGCTGGGTTGAGCTTTAAAATATCACCGTGGAAACTTTTCAGTCGTCTATGGAAAAACTGTCTTAAACGTAGGCGAAAAGTCGGCACATGCATAGTCCCACAATGATTTATAACCTCTTCGTAGCTGTAGGATGCTCCTCGATGGCGAAATGTGAAATATATTCTGGACTTCGTCACCCCAATGAAATGAGAATGACTATGACAAATTTCTAGTAACACGGACATGAAAGGGACGATGCTATATTATTCGTTGCATCTTCTTTCAAGAGCTTAATAGTCTCAAACGTCGTCCACATTACCGTAATCTAACTTGATCACCCCTTTCACTAAACAAATTCTCAAAAGCACTTGATGAAATTCTTCGCCAGCACATAGACATTACGCGTAAGAAAATCAGTAATTGGAAACTGACAGTAGCGCTCCGCACGATTAAAATCAAAATACTTACTATGTCTTTATGATGATGACGGTATCTATGTGGGTGCAGATGAGAATCCCATTGATGGGCGGAGCTATTAGGTTGATGATGAATGGGAAACGCGACGTCGGACGTGTAGTCACTGTCTTCAGAAATGCCAGCTGTAATACGAAAAAGCACTGCATTTTATGTAAAATGAATGGAATTCAATATCGAAGAATGTGTACAATGAAAACAAGACAAATACCACGTTCATTTCATAAGTTTTACTGATTTTAC